AAAATTCCTGGTCGGCAATTTTGTCTTCCCAAAAACTTAAATCCTTGTGAAAATTGCCAATTTTTGTCCAACCTCCGATCGCTTCGTTAGTCAGGTTCCCAACGAACTGGGGTTTTCGATTTCCGGAAGTCCACTCTGACATACAACAGCGCATACACGTAGATACACACAAATTTTTGGTTAGTTCGATTTATCGGTGATTCGATGTCAGTCCCAAAAATTATCCGCACGACTGCGCCAGTTAGCACGTCGTAGACCGGGTTAACGTTTTTAAAAAAAATTATTTCCTACTTAGGGCCGGTTTATCAATAGAGGGTTACCCCATGAGTTACGGATAACTTTGGGTCAAAGTTGTGACGAGTGTTTATTCATCCAGGATCAACTGCTAACTCGAAAGTTATTCCAGGAAAAAGTTAACCCGCACTCTCGCGGCAAGTTAGCGTATTTGACCCGGAGTTAACCGCAACATTTTCTATCTAATTTTTTTTTGAAAAGTGCTGGTTTTAGCTTGAATTTTGATATTGTGAAGAGATGGAGGACCTGGATTTCAGTGATGATGGTTAAGATGTTCTAGAATTTCTGGAACATGCATGAGCGGCGCCTTTACCATAGGCGCCTAAGGTATCGGTCAAATCCCGTTGAGGATTTTGACGTCGTCCACTTCTTCGCACGTTTTCGCTTACGAAAAGAAATAATTTTATTTATTCTAGAAAAAATCGAGCATAGACTTGAATTCCCAATAAACCTATGTTTGTTGAGAATTCGAGTATAATATTCATTTCTACACAGAATACATGAAACCAAACTTTTCGCTTTCCGCTAGTGGGTATTCACATCAAATAAGTTAGTATGCGATCTACGACTTGCTGCTAGAAAGCAGGAAGCATACTAATACGTCTGTTTCCGCAGAAACTACAAACCAGTCAGAGCAAATAACCAATAAAATTCACTCTGTCTGGCAGAGCTGGGCAGGGCTTGAGTGCTTTGTGCTTGTGAAAGTGCTTGAAGCACTTTGAGGACTTGAAAGCCCTGTGCTTCAAGCCCTTTTATAGATTTGTAATTGGGGCTTGCAAAGTCAATTACTTTAGAAAAGTGCTTGGTAATTTGTGATTGAAAAAAGTAATTCAAGCCCTTTCAATGAGCTTCAATTACTTTTAGAGGGCTTGAAGCACTTTTGGGAGCTTGAAGCACTTTGAAAGGGCTTGAAGCACTTTAAGAGGGCTTGAAGCACTTTTGGGAGCTTGAAGCACTTTGAAAGGGCTTGAAGCACTTTAAAAGGGCTTGAAGCACTTTAAAAGGGCTGAAAGCACTTTGAAAGGAATTTGAATAGACCATCATTCTACCTATCCCCTACTTAAAAATTTTCGATCGATGTGTTTTGTCGCTTAATTTTTTTTTCTATTATTTAAACTTGAACCGTCTTATGTCTTTTCTCTCTTAACAATGGAGGTTCGGGGTTTGAGCTTAGAATTCAATTTAAAAAAATAAATAAAAATGAATGAACTTATTTAAATAATTAATTTACATTGGTCCCCTATTTAACTTTATCATTGGATTTTTTTCACTTTTCCTCATTGAACATTTTGAAAACCTTAAAATTGAATTACCATGTAGTACCCTAACTACCCCAAGTACCCCAGAACTACATCTCAAAAAAAAAAACATACTACTGCTACTCTTGTGAAATGTAAGGTTCATCTCTACCGAGATCTCTACTATACTATACCAATTCAACTGATGAGTGTACGCGGTAGCTTATGCCACTTTGAGAATTTTATTACAAATTCAAAGTGCTTTAGGCACATTTAAAGAGCTTCAAGCACATTTAAAGAGCTTCAAGCACATTTAAAGAGCTTCAAGCACATTTGAAGAACTTTAAGCACATTTAAAGGGCTTCAAAGCACTTTTGAAGGCTCCCCAAGCACTTTTGATATGCTTCAAGCACTTTTCAAATCACTTTGAGGGCTTTGCGCTTGCCAAGCCCAAAGCACTTTGAGGGCTTTGTGCTTGTGAAGCACTTCTGAAAATTAAAAGGAATTTGTGCTTGAAATTGAAAGCACTTTGATAAAGGGCTTAGGGCTTAGTGCTTCAAGTCCTTTTACTGAGGGCTTTGCCCAGCTCTGCTGACTGGTTTGTGATTTTTGCAGAAACAGACCTATTATTTTCGAACCTTTACCTAGAAACATATGCCTGGTTTCACACCGAAGTGATTGGAACATTTAGATATATTTTAATAGTTTGCGACGTACTTGCAAGACGCACAAACCTTGTTTATTTTTGACTTGTAGCACTGTGTGACTTTGGTATGAATGTAAACATGGAAAACTCAAGTTGCAACGTGCTCTCTGCTTTCTAGCAGCAAGTCGCACGGTCGCACGCATGATATGGTATATGCTTTTTTCAAATCGCTTTTCGTTTATATTTTACTTTGCAAGTGTCACATTCAAAAAGATAAATATCCGAGTGTGTCAACATGTGCATCTTTAAAACGCTTGTTATTTTAAATTTTGCTTTGCAAGTGTCACATTCAAATGGATAAATATCTGAGTGTGTTAACATGTGCTTCTTCAAAACGCCTTTTGATTTAAATTTTGCTTCGCAAATGTTACATTCAAAAGGATGAATATCCGAATGTGTTACCGTGCATTTTCCAATTGCCTTTTTGTTTAAATTTCCCTTTGCAAGTATCACATTCAAAAGGATAAATATCCGAGTGTGTTAACATGTGCCTCTTCAAAACACCTTTTAGTTTAAATTTCACTTCGCAAGTGTTACATTCGAAAGGATATATATCCGAATCTGTAAACATGTGCATCTTCAAATGACCTTTGGTATGAATGTAAACATGGAAAACTCAAAATGCAACGTGCTCCCTGCTTTCTAGCAGCAAGTCGCACGGTAGTACGTCGCATGCTACTTTGGTATAAATGCCCTACGGAAACGAAAAGAAAAAAGAAAAAAATAACATGATTAGGTACGGTTATGATCAGAAAATGTGAAAAAATAGATAAAAGTGAGCTGGCAACGTTGCATAAGCAGTGCCAACCTTCGAAGAACCCGAGAGTTTACCAGCCATGAGTTAAAAAAGCTTGGATAAACACCTTTCGACTTAACTAGCTAGTTAGCCCAGAGTTAGAGTTGACTCAGGGTCAGGAAACTCTGCGAGTTATCCCTTGATTGATAAATCGGCCCTTAAAAATTACAAATTCGAGACTTAACTCTAAAACTGTCTAACTTAATATTGTCGGGAAATTACTTATATAAAGGTGAAAAGCACAGTAAGTAAGTTTATTGTTCAGTCAGGGCCTATTACTGACATAACTCACTCAAAAATACTACTTATAGCTTTTGACACATTTTTCAGCTACTGTAAGTAACTTCTGCAACTAGCATGCAACCTAGTTTTCAACTTCTCAAAACATTGTAATCTATGAACAGCTTTAGAATAGGTACTCTTTCTGAGTTATTTAGGGGAATTTGGAATACTGGCTTCTGCAGTTTCCAACATAATGAAGCTGTGATAAAGTTTTCTAGCTTCAAAACATACTTAAAACTAGTCTAATAGCTTAAGACATTTTCTAGAAAAGAGCTATCAAAGCAATATGCAAGTTAGTTTTCAACTAATTGAGACACTGGTGAACAGCTCCAAAATACTCTTTCAGAGTAAATTTAAGAATTAGGAATACTAGCAACGATACTAGGAATTACTTAGCTTCTGCAGTTTCCAAGATTTAATGTTTTCTAGCTTCTTGAGACATTTATTTCCTCTTCTCAAGCTTGAAATAAATTTTTTTCAGAGGCCCAAAACCTTTGTTAGTAGTTTTTCATTGGTGACTAATAAGTATGGCCATAATTAACCAGGAAATTGACCAAAATTGCTATTATCCTTGATCTTAAAACACCTGGAAAAAAAACGCAGTTAAATCAACTGACATTTTCAAGGATTTCATTTTTCTTGTGCCGTATACACTTTTATAATTAATGAAACGAAATAATCTTAAATCTTTCGCCTAAAAGAACTTTGACCAAATTAATTAGCCTAAACACTCTAAACTATGTTTCTCAACACTTCTTTGACAATAATTCCATCACGTATACCTACCTACCGACATTAAATTCTTTTTTATTATCGCCGATAAATCTTAAATGTAATTGCGTGTGGATGGCATTTCGAGAATGCAAACCGCGAAAACGAGATCTGTTTTAATTATGTAGAATCAAACTAATTAATGGCATTTGAAGATTATCAAGCTAGAATTGTTTCAATAATTCGAGAATTTTCTTAAATTAGGAGTTTCCAGTTCAAGTTCAATTGCATCATACAATTATCCATTGTTATATGAAGATGTTTCATTTAAAATGATATTGATTTCAAGTGGAATAATATCATCCTTGGAACCAAATTTGGACGAGAACATTTTTAAATTTGAAATGAATACCTTTCCTTATTATTATAAGTGTAACTATTGACCGTAATTAATAAATTGCGAAACGCCCTTCTTCTCTTGAGATAAAAATACTTATAATAAACTGCAATTTCCAATACAAACCCGAAAAACTCCTTATTTAGTTTTGAACTGAATTTAAAATGTCAGGCCATTAAGCTTAATTTGTTAATTGTTTAATTGAGAGCTCGTGTTGATGGCAAATCATTTAAATGTGATAATAATGAATATGATTTCAGACTAGAATTGTCACAGATTGATTTCAAATAATAATAAATACTCTTAAACAATATAGGTAGGTACGTGATGGCCATATATAAATTCAAATTTAATAACAATATATTATTTTAGGTAAAAACTTAAGGCCTACTTCCTAGGCATTGTTCATCTAATATTTTTCTCTAATTTTATGAAATTTCTTAACCCACGCTTCGCGCACAAAGGCCTTACGAAATTGAATCACCTTGTTATTATAAATTTTGCTTGGGCCACAAAGATCCGAAGATAAATCGGTATTTATGTGTCTTTTTATAATTATAATAAACAAAAAAACTTCTCAAACAGTGTACAAATGGGCAACAAAATCAATGAAATCTTCATATTGCCCGCGATTCATCAAAGAAAAAGTGGTGATGGTCGACGATGAGTGAGGGGGTTCATCTCCTATTGAGCATCTCCTTGCAAGGTTTCGGGATGAAAGTAATATTCCGATTTGAACTATAGTAGTTTGCCCACCCACTATTTTTTTTTCTATAAGGTTTTTTCATGTATAAAAGCTCCCGTTGTTGATTTCGGTAATCAGATCATCTCTTCAGCTTCTCATCTTCGTATATACTTAGTTTGAATAGGAATAGGTTTAGAGTGAAACATGAAGGTAGGATTTTCATCTTTATTATAGTGAAAAGTGGTTTTTAGTGTGTGCAAAAGGGTTTGTTGTTACTTAGTTAAAATTTATCGTGAATTTTCCAATTCACTCTTTTAAATACGTAAGTGAAATCAAATCAAAGAAATATTCAATTGTGCAACAGTGCAACAATTATAAATCCTCATACGGTGTGCCGTATATGTCCAAAACAAAGGTATTCTTTGAATTGTAGCGCAATTTTAATAGATTTGGCCTTTTTTGATTGAAAACAATTATTAAATCGACTGCCTTGTTTGGCACTTTTGCCAGTTTTGAAATTAAACCTTGATTTTCTGAATTTCAATCAAGTAAAAACAGTCAATTTTGCCTCTTGAGTTACTTTTGCAAACATCCATTTAAATAATTATTTCAACTTTTAGATCTCAACCATAATCATAGCCACCTTGTCATTGGCCCTAGCCGAACCACCAGTACCCTCCAACCAATACCTCCCAGCCAACCAATACCAAACGCCTCAAAACCAATATTTGCCTCCCCAAAATCAATATTTGCCTCCCCAAAACCAATACCAATCGCCTAAAAACCAATATTTGCCTCCCCAAAACCAATACCTTCCACCTGTAGTGACCACCTCTGCTCCGAGATACCTGCCTCCAAGTACCTTGTACGGAACACCTCAAACTCAAGCAGTGATCAGGCCTAGCGCTAGTAAAACATATCTGCCACCAAGTACTAGTTATGGAACACCATCTGCGAGTAGGGTACCAAGTAGAACCTATGGAACACCAAGTAGCAGTTATGGAACACCCAGTAGAAGTTATGGAACACCTAGTGCTTCTTATGGGGCACCGAGTAGCAGTTATGGGGCACCCAGTAGCAGTTATGGTGTTCCAACTGGCGGTTATGGTAGAGGAGGTTATGAAGAACCATCTGTGAGTGCAATTATGTTTTTATTTGTAAATTAAAAAAGCTAAACTTACCCAGTAAACACAGCTTATCTTATATAAAATGTATATCTACTTTTCAGTTATGTAAACACTATAATATTCAATATTTCAGGTAAACATTACATAAACTTTTATTGTTCAACTTTGGGTTCACTCGTGAAACTTCTATAAATTCATGAATCCATCCCTCACGATTATCTGTAACTTGTATTCATAAAATCCTGAAAATAGCAATTCTAGGATTTCTAAAACGTCTAATTTACAGTGTCGCAATTGACTTTCATTGGATCGGAAATATTTACGATTCCATAAGATTTTCTGTAAGCTATAGAGAGCGCAAGATGTCTATAGGTTTATAGAAAGTTATAGATTTGCTTACAGATGTGCACAGAACTGACCCATTAGCTTAACATGAAAACTATATAGTGCTGGTAAAAAAATGATCTCAAATTTATAGAAACTTTAAAACGTTAATGTAACAGATGTGTTTACCGGGTAACTTACATGTAAAGTTTAAATACAAATTCTTACATATAGGTGAAAAATAGGTACCCTAAGTCTAGCAGTATATATTCTAAGGTTTGTTCCAACACAGGTACCGTCAGGTTTAAAATTTATGCATAGAATGCAAAATATTCTTATACAGAGTGGTTTTGAAACTGTTCATGGGACAATTTGTTACTTGTTGGAACATACTTTCCAAAATTGCTCTTTTGAATCTTGGATGAGGTAGAAGAATGAGCTCCATTCCATTGGAACTTTGTTATTAATGCATCCAAATTCAAAAAGTTTAGTTTTGTGAATGGGTGAAGCTACTATATATACATATATGTATATTCTCCTTCTATACAATACATATATTTTGAATCCTGCATGAGGTAGACAAATGTGTTCCACTCCACTGGAACTTTGTTATTAATGCATCCAAATTCAAAAAGTCTATAGTTTTGTGAATAGATGAAGTTATTATATGTCCAGATTATAAGCTCATCTACAATTTTTTCTATACCTACAGGAACCGGCCAATTACGAATTCGAATACCAAGTGCAAGACGCAGCCTCCGGCAACGATTTCGGTCACAGGGAGCAGCGCCAAGGTGACGTAGCGCAAGGTAAGTACTTTGTGCTACTGCCAGATGGTCGTCTACAGACTGTAGAGTACACGGCCGACGCTAGCGGATACAAACCGAGAATCAGCTATCAACAAGTGGGAATAAGCGGTGGATATCCATCAGGACCATCAGGTAGTGGTGGATACCAATATTAGAATATTTATTTCGATTCATAGCTAGCTTTAATCTGGATTTATATACCTTTGACGACGGACTATGAAATACCTACGGACTTGGCCTATAGATTTGTTTTATTTAACAAATATTTTTGTATAATAATTTATTAATGATTCAAAATACAAAATGCCATACTTATTAATAATTTGTTTGTGTGTATTATATTATACAGGAGGTGATTATTGTAGCTGATATTTATTAGGTTTTTTTTTTATGTATTTGTATATTATATTTTTTTAAATAAATAAATAGTTGTGCAATTTTTAATACAAGTTTTTTAACTACCTATTACTTACCATTGAACAAAAGGAGAAGCTATTTGAATTTAAAGTTAAAATTCAACAAAAATGTTACCTAACCAACTGTTGGACTTTGGAGGGAAAATTTAAAAAACTCCCGTCCCGTATTCTCGAAACAGAGAAGCAGCGAGCAGCGTTCTCATGAGAATGAAAGTTCTATCTGTCTTAGTCGCCCATATTGTTATTTCTATAATACTGACAAAAACCAGAGCATTCGACGCAATCGTTCTGTTGTTCCCCGGTTTAGAGAATACGGGCCCAGGTCAGTTTTTATACACCAGATGGCGGTTTTAGGGAAAAACATGGATGATTTCCCATAATTTCTTTTTATTGTACAAGAGTTCCCCTGACCTCAAATTATAAAGATTTTTGAAAACTGCGCATGCTTTAGATCTAAAGATGGACTGATTTCCTCAAGATTTCTCCCGAACTTTTCAGATTTCCTTGATTTCCTTCTGATTTCCCCTGATCTTCTCAGATTACCTCTTGATTTCCCCTAATTTGTAGACCAGATTTTCCTCGTGGTTTACCCCTGAAGGGGGAAGAGGAAGATGTTACGTGGTGATCATTTATCAATCTGATCCTCGATCGGATCATAATTCAGTGTAAAATGCTTGTTCATGGAACCAGTCAAGAGGTGGAACCTGTCACTAGATAAAATCCAGATTACCTATGGAATCTCATGACGTGAATATCCATAAATAGGTACTCAAAACAAGATCTCAAGAAAATCAGTTCTATTGGAAAGCTAGAAAGCAAAAAGCCAAGCTGGCAAAAGACCAAATATACGTGTGAAAAATAAAAAATAACGAGGAAACTTCTGTCGATGCCAGGCTATTGATGGTTTTTCCTTCTTCTCTTAATTGCTCTCCAACAAAATGATAATCGAGGAAACTTTTGTCTATTCCAGGTTTTTGATTTTTCATTTTTTTCTCAATTTCTCTTAAAAAAATTAATAAGCTTCAGTAGTTTTCCTTTAAACAAAACATTCCTTAGAGTCCCTTGAAATCTTTAGAATTTGTCTTTGAAATCCATCGAATCTTCGCTGTTATGTCTTCAAAAAATTTCAATTCTTTAGTTTTTAATTCCTTGAAAGCCTTTATTAGTTTGCAGCCTTTTTGTTTCGTAAATAATGAGCTCTAAAAAGTCTTTAAAGTTGAGTAAGAAATCTTAAAAAGTCTAGTTGGTTCAGAATCTATAGAATATCAAGAATTATCAAATTTTTAAGCTTTAATAGTTGAATTTTGGATCTACAAAGGTCGAAAATGATCTTTTTCAAAGGAAATTACCAAGAAATTGGTTGACAAGTAGAAATAAGACTAGGTAGGTATTTGTCTATGCCAGGCTCCAGGCTCTTGAATTCTCTCAATTTAGGGAAATTTGAAAAAATTCAAGAGCCAGGAATAGACAAAAATTGAAAAGGAATAAATGAGAATTGAAAAGGAATAAATGAGAATCAGAAATTGAGAAAAAGTTGAAGAGAAATTGGGTTGACAAGTAGGAATATAAAAAAAATAGATATTTTCTTTATCTAGGTTCCAGGCTCTTGAATTTTCTCAATTTAGGAAAATTTGAAGAAATCCAAGAACCGAGAATAAACAAAAATTGATTTTCTCATGATCCTTATGATTTCCCCTGATTTTTTTCAAGTACCTACAGGGTTGTTCCGAATATTTAGACACCATATAGCTCGCTTATGAAGCAAGATAGAAAAAAAATCTGAATACAAAGTAAATAGGGATTTACGAGAACCGCTAGAAAATTTAAGTTTTATATACAGGGTACACGCAAAAGATATGGCAGACACAACTTGTATTTTTTGAAATGGAACACCCTGTATATTTTTGGCTAAAATGATAGATGTTTTTCTTCTGATTTCAAATATACCATACGTTGATATTTGGTTCAGATGTTTTTGCGCTATTCAACTTTAAAATTGCATTAAGTAAACCTCACTATTATGATATAATAAGGAACCGGGAACAGAGACGAGATTCTGTAATGAATAAAGATCGTTATCCCTATCGCTATGGCACTTGGTGTCTTCTTCTTTCTTTTCGAAATCAATAGAGAGAGGACGTCAATAGAGATTAGGGTAATGTTAATGCATTTTTAAACTTAGGCCCGTATTCTCAGTCACATCTCAAGTTAAAGACCCCTTGCGACTTGAAGGTCGCCTTGAATAAGGACGCCTTCGTGGTTTGCGACTTTGGCATTTCATAGTAGCGAGTTAAAGCATCCTTATTGAAGGAAGCCTCGTTTTAGGTTTTGCAACTGGCAACAACGGTTTCTACGAAATGTCTATTGTTATTGTCATTAAGTTGTCATTGATAATATATAATTCTATGAGAAAAAGGTCAGATAGCTCTAGAAACTGTAATTTTTCGTGTGAAATTTATGTGCAAAATTATGGCGACAAAGTATACTGAGACCGAAAAAATGTTCCTGGTCCAGATCGCTCAACACAGGGTAATAGCTGAAAATAAAAAAACAGACGCTGTATCATTGAAGAAGAAACACGCTGCTTGGGATAAAATTCAATGTTCCTATTGTAGCCAGGGCTTTCCAACTAAAAGTGTGAAACAATTAAAAAAGTGTTGGGACAATATAAAACAGAAGTAAGTATACCGATATTGTTCTGTGAAGAAATATGCAGTACAGCTGTGTCTGGAATGTTTTAGAAAAAGGCAGCAGAATACATTAGCCCGACAAAACAGGTTGTTAACGGGAGGTGGTTCTCCTAAGGAGGTCATTACTGATCCCGTTACGGATTTTGCGGGGAGTGCTTTTCCAGCAATAGATGTTGAGTTGGGGAACGACTGGGACAGCACAGCTGTTTTCGAAAAAAAAAGTTCGTGCATAGGTTGAATGTTACTTAAATGAAAATCGTTTATTGCTGTATTTTTAGATTTGTTAAGTCCGTTAGCTACAAAGGGCAATGATGCAGTGATGGATAACCGAACCCCACTGTCCCCACTGAATGATGAAAGCAGCCAGTCAGAGGGTATGCATTTCATAATTGAATACTCAAATAGGCAGCTTTTCTGAATTGTGTTTTAAATGAAGCTGTGCTACTATGTCAGCCTTCAGCAGGTGCATCTATGAAGGTTGTGCCTGAACAGCTTACCTCAGCACCCATTGATCAAAAAGCACTCCATCCGTCTAACAGGCGAATGCGATCCAAGCGCACATGTAGCTGTAACGACGAGTTAATTCAGCTGCAAATTAAAAAAGTGAGAGACGGCATTGACACGCAACGGGAGTTGCACGAAAAGCGGATGGAAGCCGCGAACGCTGAAGCTAGATTAGCTATGGTTCGTCTGCTCCAGGCGGAAGCAGAGCTTCGCGATTCCCTAGATAAATAGCATTCTAACGTTCCTATTTTGTTTTAATTCAAGTTACTTTCCACTTTTGTGTTCATTTTATATATTAAATGTTTGTTTGTCTGTGATGTGTTTTGTTATTATTCCTAACATGCCAAAGAAATAGAATGCAAACTCATTCAAAAATTATTTATTCAAATCGCATAATCCAAGTTAAATTTTATAAAGGCGCTAGTTGAAAATGCAGTTACTAAAAATGTTGGTGAGCAAACACTGTCCGAAATGTCAAGCCTTCGGCATTATTATCGCCCGCAGGAAGTACATTCACTATAGCATCATCAAATTCCTCGTCTAAGATGTTGTCATTATGCAAGAGTCCAATATTATAGAGAACGGCGGTTGCACATATCACAGCCATACTTGTTCTGAGCTTCGTACGTAGCCCACCTCGTAAGCAAAAAAATCGTCTCTTCCAGATTCCAAACAAACGTTCCACCAGATTCCTTGTTCTGATGTGCGCAAAATTGTATGCCTCCTCGTGAATGTCTCTTGGGTTTAAAAACGGCGTTAACAGTTTATTTGTGCAAGCATATGCACTGTCCCCTAAAAGCAATCCTGGGATTTCATTAAGTTGGAGACGAGCTCGTAGTGCACTCCTATTAAAAATGAGGCTGTCATGGCTGGATCCTGGATGCCGCACAACAATGTCTAATATTTCCAGGTTGGGGCCTGCTGTTACCTTTATTTGGAAACATGACTCGTTATAGTTCAATGTAACACAAAAATGAAGCAACCCTACCTGAACATTCAATGAAAAACAGCCTTTACGATTTCGAAAAACCTCCGCATATGCTCCCCCTGGATTTTCAATCGCAATATGTGTAAAATCTATGCATCCTGACACGTTTGGGAAATTTGCTATATTAAAAAACCGTGCTGTATTTCTTTGGGCTTCGTTGAGTTGACGGGGAAAGTGGACGAAATTTCCTAACTGTCTTGCAAATAATATGGAGACATTTTTCACGGTTCGAGAAACGGAAGGTTGACTGAAGCCCCGCAAGTCACCATGAACTTCCTGGCAGTCCGGATTATTGCGTAAATTTATCTCTGGCTTTAAATGAACAAAATAGTTGCTATAACCTTACCTGGAAACTATTTGACGCATAAAACCTAAGCGCAATTAGCAGCTGGAAAATTGGGGGGATAGGGAGTCCCCTATTATTTATTCTATCTAAATCTTCAAAAATAAGAGGTAGAAGAACGTCGGTGATAGTATGTTTGGAAAATCGGTATCGCCGACGAAATTCTTCATCAGAATAAAATTCTAATGGATTCTGAATGTCTCGAATGTACCTTCTTGGCCTTGGCAGCACAACATCATCATCAGCGTCAATTATCTCTACAAATAAATTGTCCAGCTCCTCCATGTTAAGAATTTATATGTAAGCTTACCTTCTCATTAGGAGATAGAGCTCTATGTTTTAGATACGATTTTATAATGTGCAACCTGCTAATATTGCAATGACATAAAATGTGTGTTCTGTCAACTTTGTCAATGTTATTGGTTGCTCTCTTCTATCGTAACCGAATTGTTAATAATAAATACGTTGTTTAAAGTCGTCGAATCTGGGATTTTATTAATATAAAATAACACTCCATACTAATTACAGTACTAATAATAAACCTTAGAACTTTGCAAATCAATGGAATACGGTCATAGAATACAGTTCACATAATGACACCAATTACATGACATTTATAGAAAAAGGTTAGAAAACCAGTCTCAAGGGACCTCTGGACATTCCTCAAGTCAAGGAAGGAAATGTGCATAAGCGGCGATAAGGACGCCTTGTCAATTTTGACTCTGCAAGACAATTTACGGCCAAGGTCACCTTTAAGGAAGCCTCAGCACTTAAGTAGCCACTATGAATACCGGACTTAAATAGCTTAAAAACAGCTGAACCAAATATCAACATATATGGTATGCTTGGAATCATAAGAAAAAATCTATCATTCTAGCAAAAAATATACAGGGTGTTCCATTTGAAAAAATACAAGTTGTGTCTGCTACGCATCTTTTGCGTAGGTACACCCTGTATACAGGGTGTATCAGGTATTAATACAAATATTTTAACATGAGATAATATGGCCCATTTCAAGCAAAAACTGTCCTATTAACCATGGGTCAATTGTTAATATTTTCGGAGTTATCGCAGAATTTAAATTAAGAAAAATGTTAACAACGTGACAACATTGTACAGGTATAATCTCTGCGAGGATATAAATGTAAATAAAACTGGTAAATTTAAAAAGTTTTTTTTTGCACGGAGTTTATTTATTTCCATCTGTTTACGTTTTGGTTTGTTATTGGCTTGCAAATAATGTAAATAATAACTTGCATTTTTATCACTTTTCTAGTGAAAATAAAAAATGTGCCGTTTTATTAAGTTGTGAATTGCACTCAATGACATTTTTGCACTGAACATTCAAGAGAAAAAATCAACTAATACTTACTCAGCTACTTGTCAAATTCTTTTTATGAAAATATTAATTGTTGTTAAAAGGTTCTCAAAACACTAAAATCAACACGCAGATTTTGCACACTCACAACCCACACTTCCTGTATCACGCAATCTTTGTAAAACGGGCACAATGTTCTTTCATCAGGTGGATGCTTTTTTTTGAGAAATCTTTCCCTAGTTTGCTTGTAAATTCTGGCGGCTAAATGAGCATTTTGCAACGTTTCTGTCTAAACAAGTATCTGCATATTCGATGTTTTTAAACATTTTATTTTCAAAAAAAAATTAATTTGAATTACGCGCATTTCCTAACTAGACCAAAATAAGAATCAATTTATTCAGCTTCATCAAGCATCAGCTTCAACCACCTATTCTTTATTATGCTGTTTAGATACCCTTTTACAAGTGAAATTTGCTAGTTGTTTTTTCAATTTCTTCTTATAGTTGTTGACTAAAAATGCATAATTACTTAATAATTGGATAAACTAATTTTTTTTCCATCTCATAATGATTAAAATTTTCTTTACCGTTGAAATATTCGTTAAAAAATGTCAAAACTTCAAAGGCCTTTTTCTCAAAAATGGTTGAGTTTGGACCCCATGTTGTGTAAACTTTTTTTGTTCAAAATGGGCGATATTTTCATTTGTTGAAATTTTTGTGGTCAAACCTGATACACCCTGTATATTGCCTGAAAATTTCGGAGGTGACTAAAAAAAACTCCGCTTTAGAAAGAATACATAGGTATGTACAAGGTGGGGCATGAAAAACTTCCCATCTCGGTTCTCTCAGGCGCCTGATTCTCGAAACGACGGAACATGGTTCATATGAGGACAAGGTACTCCGTTCTTCTCAGTTGAATGCAAAATCTCATATGAGTGACAAAGACATAAAATTTGTTTTCATGCAAACGCTGTTCCCTTTTTTTAGGAATCAGTCGCCAAATTTTAGGTGATTGTTAAAAATCGCTCGGACACGCCAATTTTCATTTTTCTGGGGACACATTTCATTGGTTTTTTCACTCCCTACCTGTCAACCCCTGAACGGGGGAGACAGGGTCCCCCAATATTTGAAATGGAAAGGGGGGTCGATACATTATTTGCTAGCTATTTTTATCAAGATTATATCCTCAAAGTTTTAGGCTGCTACTATTTACCCTGCCGAAATGGCGGCTTGTCTAAGATAGGAATTTTTTTTTTCCGAGTACCTATCTGAATTGTGTGGTTTTCAATAGTTTTCGTCACATAATAGCAAAACAGCAGATTTGTTTTTTTCAAGGGTAGGTACCTAATACCTATCCATATTATTAAAATAACATCGGTATTTAGTTAAAGTATTGTCATTCAAAAGTTATTAATTACCACAAAAATAAGCATGATGACTCTCCACAAACCAACGAACCAACTAAACCAACCAATTATTGACAAAACTGACAGATATGAAACTCTGTCTTCTTTACAAATCCAAAAAAAAAAACATAGACTGGGTATATTTCTATCACCCCAGATACATCTAACAACCATCGAGCTATAACCAAATTTTTACGTTTCTAGAACATCGAATTTCATTCCTATTTTCTTCCTGATGAAAAATTGATTAATGTGGTCTAGGAATAGGAATCAGGACTTAGAAGAAGTCCAGGAGCTGCTTGAATCTTTGGGTTTCTTTCCTAGAGAAATCCAAAAGTTCAAGTCTTCTTAGAGAAACAAACTCCGTTTTAACAATTTTTTTTTAATTAATTTGTAAAAAATAATACAATAAAAATTAGACATTAGGTACTTAATTTAATAAAAATAATTTAGTTTGGATTATAATAAAAAAATAATTTAAACAAAATCTAACAATGGAAATTATAATAATGGTCGGTTTATTCACCTTCTGATAAACTGTCAGGTATACAAACGCAAGTTAGGCAAGTTATCCACTGACCAATTATCTTGCAAATAGTTACCAGCAAGTTTATCTGAAGATGAATAAACCGGCTATATTTTTTCTCAATAAACCTCTCCCATTACTTAATTTAATTCTTGTATTGATTGAGTATTGAATAATTTTAGAAAAACAATAATAAAGGAATGTCTAAAGTTAATAAATAATTTCAAACTATGTAATCACATGTAGTCTACTTAAAACGACAATTATTAATTATCTAACTGGATTAATTAAAACAATTTATTTTGTCTTAATCAATACCTCTATCTGATACATTTTTTTTTTTTAAATCATACAGCCCAAAATTTATTAATTTCTACTATTAGTTAACAATTAGGTAATAATAAAAAATCTATTTTCTAACATTTATATCTCACTAAAGAACACTAAAGTTTATTTCGTTTTTTTGTGCAGTAAATTAAGTACAAAAAGAAAAAATACTTTTCAGAAAGAAATACTTTTATAAAATGATAAAATTAATTTGAGAACCAATATTTATTGGGTCTGTTCCAAGAATAGAAATAAATTTTTCAAGGATTTGATTGGTTCTAGCTAAACATTTAGTCATCCTTGTCACATTTAGACACTTAACAATAAATGCACCCTGCATATGTATTTTTTTTTTTACATTGTCAACTATCAATGACAGTGCTGGCAGCATTTAATTCATATAGGATCCATTGATAGCCAACAAAATTAAGCAGTACTCTGGTAACTAAAAAAAAATTACCCTAAAAATCGTCATAGGCTGACCTTGTCGTTCATGTTGGCGTCTTTGGGCGCCAAATCCTCGAAGGAGGTCTTGGGAGGTTCGGTGGGCGATACTGGGCCGATGTTGAGCCTCAACGAGTCGTCCATTTTGCTGTCTTCGTCCGTACTGTCGATGGACAAGGAACGTTCCGATTCGAGACGGGGATTGCGTACTGAACGACGTTCGAGCCTATTTACCTAAGATAATTGGTTTATTAATTGAAATTGCTACAAATTCAATTGGTCTGTTCACACAGAAATTACAAACCTATCAGAAACGAATTTCATTGGTTGAAAACAAAGTGTTAAGAAAATGAAGAGAAAATATCAAAAATTAATTAATTTATTAATTTTACCTATTCATTGTTAACCTGTTGGTGTTGTATTGTCAAAGTTAGTTCTGCGTATGTCAAAAAATCTCTCCAATCATCATCAAATTTCTTCAAATATACATACCATTTAACACAAAGGTTGTTGGCGATTTACACCAATCAAAAACGCTGATTAAAATAAATTACTTGTTTTGAAGACACATTCATTGTCTAAATAATACATGGTGTCAAGTATGTTGAATTAAATATTTATTCAATCCTGGAAATTGTGTGTACCCCGGAGAATCATGGAAACGTTATTTAAACCCCCATAACCACTGAGTCTACATGGCAATGTAGCAGACAACAGAAGTTTGATTTATTTATGACAGCCACAGGTTTGGACGAAAATGACGAGGTAAAAGTTGCTGTATTTTTAAGTATAATTGGTGAGGAAGGATTGGACCTATACAATTCCTTCACACTGACCATTGTGCCCTGTTAAAAAATTTGATGAAGAAACCACTTTGCTAATGTATGCAAAAAGAAAGTCTAGGAAAGAAGCGAATGAAAATAGAAGTCAACGGAAAAAAGTGAGTGAGGTGAAAGTGTCAGGATTGAGTGAAAATGTTGATAATGACCAGACTAATAGTGAATCTGATGATTTTTATATTGGGTCATTAGTGAGGAGTGTTGATGGGCTGACGTCGAAAGCTGATATCGTGTGGACCAAGGAAATAGTTGTAGAAGGTACAGCTATTGAATTTAAACTGGACACAGGGGCTAAAGTAAGTGTGATTCCTAAACATATTCTAAAAAAGCATGGCATTAAGAAGGACATTAAAGAATCTTGAATAACTTTAATTTCATATGGCAGCCCTGATTTTAGAATTAAGCCCATCGGAGAAGTCTCACTATTGTGTAATATTAATAACAAGCTGACATATTTACCGTTTGTTGTAGTTAATAGTCAAAATCAAATGCCTTTGTTGGGTTTATCAGGTTGCCTGGAGTTAGAGTTAGTTAAACGAGTTGATTATGTTCATTATGCTAATTTTAATACTTTGAAAGATGTTGAATTTTTGTATCCGAAAGTGTTTGGGGGATTAGGTCAATTCCCAACTGAGCATAAAACTGTTCTGGAAAAAAATGCTAGACCCCATATTTAGGCAGTGAGACGCATACCTCAAACTCTCCACAATAAGGTTAACCTTCCGTTAGTCGCGCCCGGTCTGTGAGACCCACCATATACTTTTTTTCGCGATATTCTGGAAATAAAGGTAAGAGCCACCTCTCCCTCTATGTACCTTCTCAACGGATCACGACGGAACAGCAGTGCTAATGAGAGTGTTGGAAGTGGTTGTTTTCCCGAAAATATTTCGTCCTACGGTGTATATGTGCTTAAAGCATATTATTGGAGTTTGCCAGGAATGCCGAGAAAATACTCTTCACTAACTTTGAACATGTTTGTTTAACTTTTTTTTAATATAAAAGAGCTCGTAAAAGAGTTATATTCTACTCTTCGTATTATATCCTGTTTAACCTGTTTTTATTTTCTGTATGTGACTAAGTCAAGTGCAATATTAAAAAAGCACCATTTTCAAAGATTTTGTGGTATATTTGGAAAAAATGGCCAAATGTACTCCATTTTTATTTTTCAATCATTTATTATGTTTGTTAAAACATCCCTATATGTATTTTTTGAAAAGTACATTTCGCTATTTATTTGGGGGTTGATTAAGTTGTACGGTCTGTGAGACCGACGCGACTACTCACTATAAAAAATTTGACGCGACTATCCGAAGGTTAAATTGAAACTAAAAAACCTTGAGAATCAGGGCATTATTAGAAAAGTTGAGAAGCCTACAGAATGGTTAAATCCCCTAGTAATAGCGGAAAAGAAAAATGGAGATTTGAGGTTATGTCTCAACCCGAAATACTTAAATGACAATATACAGCGTGAACACTTTTTAATTCCTACAGCTGACGAAATTGCTAGCAAACTCAGTAACAAAGTCATTTCTACAGTATTGGATATGAAAGATGGTTATTTCCAAGTCAAGATTGATGATCAATCTTCGGATTACTGCACGTTTGGCACACCATTTGGTCGCTACCAATTTTGTCGACTGCCTTTTGGTTTGAGTTCTACCCCAGCAGTTTTTCAGAAGAAAAATTTTGAGCTTTTATTTCGGGTGAAACAGAGGCTGATCATGATAGAAATTTGAAGCGTGTTCTTGACCGAGCCGTCAAATATAATATTAAGTTAACCAGTACAAAATACAATTTAAATCAAAAGAAGTAAAATTTCTGAAACAGGTTTTTTCGAAAGATGGTGTTAAAGCCAGTAACTCTCATATTAATGCCATTTTGGAAATGCCGAATCCCCAAAATAAAACTGGTTTCTTAAGATTTCTTGGCATGGCTAAATTTTTGGGTAACTTAATCCCCAATTTGTCAAAAGTGTCTGCGCCTCTCAGAACTTTGACTCACCACGATGTGGATTTTAAGTGGGCCAGCAAAGATGATGAGTCGTTAAGACAAATAAAACATTCACTGACGAATGCTCCTGTCTTGATATTCTTTGACCCTACTTTGCCAATGGAAATTGAAACTGACGCCTCAAAAAATGGCATTGGCTCTTGTTTATTGCAAAATGGCCACGCAGTAGCTTTTGTTTCGAGAAGTCTAACAAAAAGTGAAGCAAATTATATGCTCAGATTCTTGTTCAGCTGTCAAAAGTTTCATTATTCTGTGTATGGTGTTAAAAATGTTAAGGTTTGTACTGACCACAACTTTTAAGAGAAAGCCTACAGTCCATATCTCCAAGGCTGCAAATAATGATCCTTAAATTACTTAGTTACCACCTTAAAGTGATATATAAGCCAGGAAAATATTTATTTATTGCAGACACACTATCTCGTGCTTTTTTAACTAAATCTGGGGACTCTACTCAATTGAATTTAGAATATAATGTTCATGAACTCTCAAATTATTTGCCCATCTCTAATGAAAAAAAAAGAATTGTTAAGGAATTCAACAAAAAATGATCCTCAATTACAATCTGTAATTAATTTTGTCAAAGCTCAGTGGCCTTCTAGCACTTATCCCAATTTTGGCAAGTCATTTTTATGAACTAAAGTATGCTTTATCGATATCTGATGAACTACTATTTTTTACCACTAAGCTAGTTGTTCCGAAAGATCTTAGAGAAGAGATGCTCACAAAACTCCACGAGGGCCATTTAGGGATTGAAAAGGTAAAGGCAAGGCTCGGGCTAGGCAAATCTTTTATAGGCCACTTATGTCACAGGACATTGAAAATAACATTGAGAAGTGTAAAATTTGTGAAAAGTTTGCCATGAAGAATTCAAAACAGGAGCTTTTGTCATATTTGATTCCAGAACGTCCTTGGAAAAGAGGGGATGCAGATATTTTCTCATATGGCGATAGGTCTTATCTTGTAGTTATGGATGCATATTCAAACTGGTTGGAGTTGGCTCCATTTAAAAACAAGTCAGCTAATGAAGTCATTAAAATATTATAGATTCAATTTTGTCCAGATTTGGATATCCAGACAAGCTAGTTTGTGATAACGTCCCCTTTGGTAGTTTCACTTTTAAGGAATTTTCAAAAGAGTGGAATCTCGATTTGGTGCTTAAAAGCCCGAACTACCCCAGATCTAACGGTCTAGCGGAAAAAGCTGTAGGCATCGCAAAAAATCTACTCAAAAAATCTTTGGAAGAGGGCAAGGATATATTTGAAGCCCTAATAATTCAATATCGAAATTCACCTCTTAAGTTTTTAAACTACTCCCCCTCTCAGTTACTCATGAGTCGAATGTGCAAGACAAGTTGCCAGTATCAGTAGACTTATTGAAGCACTTATTATGTGAAAATGTAAAAGAATGGCTCAAGCTGAAGCAAGGCCAGAATAAGAATTACTTCAATAAGACTGCAACTCAATTGAATCCGTTAGAACCTGACCAAAATGTTTCAGTTTTTAACCATGTAAAGAATCATTGGGAGCCAGGTAAGATATTGGATTTTGCTGAAGGTCCAAGATCTTACAGGGTTTTGGATTCTCATGGAAATGTAATGGGGAGAAATCGTTTTGATCTGAAGGACTCTCGCATATTGATTATAGACAAGACTGAACCCAGATTGTGACATTGACTTTAGGCACGATTGTGAAAATGTGGAACAGCTAAAAAAACAGTCAAATTACTCCTAATAATATCCCAGTCTCCAACAGAAATTCTAGATATTTTACAGAGAAAGTATGGCAGGCCACAGTTGATAACAGAAGAATTGCTGATTCAAGCCCGCCAAGTTCCAATAAACCATAAAAATTTAGATGCGTTTCTAGTATTTAGCAACACAGTTAGAAATATAACCACGGTGCTTGAAAGAGAATTGGGTTATTATGTCCTTACACAATGGGGAAGTTACTTAATGGATAAAGAAATACAAACTAGAAGAGAATCTTTAAAAGATTTTTCAAACTGGGTTCAAGAAATGTCAGAAATTGTCTCCAGAATTACCGTTATGCCAAAATCAATAAAAGGTAAGTATAATTCTACACTTGAGAAAATTAACAAAGAAGGAGGCACAATTAACATTGAAAATAGGCCCCTGTAAATAATATTAACTTCAACCAAATTTCAATATTATCATTGCAAAAAAAAATAATTTGAAATGTGAAGAGGATCTGTGATAGCAGATATAGCTCATCAGAATACGTAGGTAGGTCCTGCTATGCTATGCATAGGAAATATCTGAGGAAATATCCCTACGTAGATTTTGTTGAATATCTCGAAAAATGCTTATCCAATTTTGACGTTTTTGGGGTCCTTTTGTAGGTATTGTAGTGACGCGGAAATAAACTACCAAGAAAACAATTAAAGGTTCTGATTATTCTAAACAACTAAAGACCTAGGATCCAACTACCGAAAATTAATCAAGAATAACAAGGACTTACCCAAACAACCATCCTAGGAGAGATCATCACTTAGACAGCATAACCAGAAACTTCAATTAAAAATTATCAGAACATCGATATCCAGAAATTATTGAAAGCCGATACTCTTTATTGACTAATACATTAAAATGTGAATAAAGTAAAGGTTCATGGAACTTTTTTTTAAAGTGAGTCAACAATTAACATTCCAAAGGAGCCGAAAATTTTCTAAAAAGGACCAATAAATCATGCACGAGCCTATGTGATGATACCCACTTAACAAACCACTTAGCGACGCCCTTGATAATTAATTAAAAGGGGACCAAATACACTAATTGATCGGATGATTTAACCACGAAAAATCGAGGTCAGAAACAATAAAGAAATTCAAGACAATGGAGGGACCAATGATATAAAAAGTATAAAAAGGCAACTTTGGCAGGAGAAAAATCAGTGTTCGAGAAAACCAGTGTTCGAGAAAAGAGTGTTCGAGAAAGAGCGAGTAAACTGGCAGAACTACGGCGTGAAGGACCAGTGTCGGTTGAGTAATCAAGAAACAAGTAGTAAACGAGAATCGAGAGACCTGTGTCCGGAAAGTCAGAACTACGGCGTGGAAGAGTTGTCGAATTAACCGAGAGAAGAAGCACGACGTGAAATAACAGCGCGAAAATATTCGAGTTTTTTATTAAGTGTTCATAATTAAAGTAAATTCCTTCGACCAATAAGATTTCCATGTAATTAGGAGGTGTGGCCAGCAGTAAATATATTATTGTTAAATGTAAGTAGAGTTTTTTATGTTCAGCAAGAAATTGTGAAGGCAAGAGTGTGAATAAAAACAAACTGTGAATAAAAATTTCACTTGTAATCATATAAATTGATGCTTATTAGAAACCTAACAATTTTATTGTAATATTATTTATTACCGACGCCTGTTATTCAATAACAAGCATTATTTATTTTAATAAAATAAACGTTATTTTAATTGACCACAATATTTCTGTGTTTTACTCTCCACCCGCAAATAGGACCCATTTTAAACTGTGTCACCACTCAGAAACTGAAGTCACCGCTCGCCAATTTAACATCTTGCCAAGTTTCTGAATTTGGGGTCTCACAATATCAAATTCCGAAAAGGTCAAAATTGGATTAGTATTTTTCGAGATATTCAAGAAAATCTACGTATACGGATATTTCCTATGCATAGCATAGTAGGACCTATGTACTTTGATGAGCTATATCTGCTATCACAGATATACGATCTTCTTTACATTTCTTTTATTTTTTTTGCAATGATGATACCTTTAAAATGTTGAAATTTGGTTGAAATTTACGGGGGCCTATTTTCAATGTTAATAATTGTGCCTCCTTCTCTCCTGATAAAAAAATTTCACAAACTTGCAAAATTTGTCATCAATCAATGCATCCAATCGAAAAATGTACAGAATTTTTGAAAAATGATGAACCATACAAATGGAAAATGACACAGAAATATAACCTTTTAAATAATGGACGTACAAAAAATTTTAGAAGCATTTCCTTTTGTTAAACAAGTAGATCTCGATTGAATAAAAAAGAAAGACTAACGTTACTTATTGGTCAAAATAATGCCCATTTAATAGTACCTATCTCGACAATCAATTCAGTCATTTCAATCATCTCCGATACTGTCAAAAACAAAAATTGGCTGGAAAATCCATGGACCTGTGAATTTTGAAAGTAAATTGCCCTCATAAGAGCTAGCTATAATTTGTTGTGAAGAATCCGATAAAAGACTCCATAATATGGTAAAAAAATCTATGACTATTGAAAATTTTGGAGTTATACCATCAAAAAAAGAAAGAAGAGTTTCCCAAAAAGATGAAGAGAGCAGTAAGTATGACACAAAAATCAATAAAATGAATTTCCGGAAGATACGAAGTAGATCTTCCTTGGAAGGCAGACGATATAAATATACCTGAGTCAAAGAAAATGGCTATGCAAAGACTCTTTTGTTTGGAAAAGGACAAAAATATGGCAAAGGTCTATCAAATTGAAGTGGAGAAATTGTTTGAAAAAGGTTATGCGAAAATCAATTATTAGCCAAAGCTGAAAAATTATGGTATTTGTCTCATTTTCCAGTTTGCAACCCAAATAAAGGAAAAGTCTGTTTAGTTTTTGATGCAGCAGCCAAAAATCATGGATATTGTTTAAATGACTTCTTACTTACTGATCTAGATTTGTTATATTCACTCTTCGGAATATTATTGAAATTTAGAATTCATAAAATAGCATTTGCAGATATAAAAGAAATGTTTAACAGAGTCAGAATTTCTGAATCACCTTTACTAGCACAATTCGTTAAAAACTATAATGCTGAAAACTATGCAGAAAAATATCCAGAAGCAGCCAATTCTATCCTTATAATAGGTAATCATTATGTGGATGACTATTTAGAATCAACAGACACTTAAGAAGAAGCCATCAAACTAATCAATGATGTTATACATGTACACCTTCAAGGAGGGTTCGAAATTAGAAATTTTGTGTCCAACTCTGAACACGTTTTAAGAGGAATTCCAGAAGATTTGCAGAATTAGATATTAATATAATTAGATATTAATTTAATGCAAGACACCCTAACAAATCGTGGCATTAAATGGAAGTTCAATCCCTATCTTCCCCACATAGAGGTGGATGCTGGGAACGACTGATAGGATGTTTCAAAAGAGCCTTAATGGCAATTATGAAAGACATTTATCAGAAGAAATATTAATGGCCTTCTTTTGTGAAGTTGAATATATTTTAAATACCCGACCATTGATTCATATATCAGATGTATATGATGATTTGGCTCCAAATGATATTTTATTGGGAAAAAATTGTCACCTGGAGTGTTTCAAGAAAGAGATTGTTTGCTGAGAAAACAATGGCGATTATCCCAGTATTAGCTGATTTATTTTGGAAAAGATGGTTGAGGGAATATCTACCTACTATAATTAGTGCTACAAAATGGCAAAAAGGATAAAAACCTAGAAGAAGGTGATGTGATAATAAATGACAATAACTTTCCACGGGGCGTATGGCCTTTGGGATTAATTGTTAAAACATCCGCTGGCCCAGATAAAATAGTACGAGTTGTAGAAGTAAAGACATTACAGGGAATATTCAAACGACCTGCACGAAAAATATATAGATTGAAACGTGCTGACAAATAAGAGTCAACACGGGAGGGAGAATGTTAAGAAAATGAAGAGAAAATATCAAATATTAATTAATTTATTAATTTTACCTATTCATTGTTAACTTGTTTTTAAACAATAAAAAAGATGTTGTTGTATTGTCAAAGTTAGTTCTGCATGTGTGTGTCAAAAAATCATCAAATTTCTTCAAATATACCATTCTCTTTAACACAAAAGTTGTTGGCGAACTGGTTCGTGACTGCTGTGAGAACAGTCCTAAAGTGTTTATAAACAAATGATACTTATTTCTACTGACCAATAATTATTGTGTACCAAGCTTTACTTAATTAATAACAATTATTCTAATAATCTAGCATGCACTATTTATTTTGCAATAAGCAACACATCAAAAAAACAAACAGTTCTGGAACAGTTTACTAACCTAACCGAGCCATTTCCAAGGCTCGATTTCCGGACTGGTGATTGGCGTTGGAAACTAAATAAATAGTTAGAAATATACAGTGTTATTGGAATTGTAATTTTTTTAAAAGATTGTCTCCCAAAATAACATTGACAGCTTTATTAATTTCAATCTGATCTTAACGTGATTAGGCCCATATTAAAGCTTATTAAATTCTCTACAAATCTCCAATTAATAGTTACAATGTAGCTTCAATAATTTCGCAGCCATGAAGCTTCAAAGTCCAGTTTATTAGAAACTGGCAATGATTCAAAATTTGGAATATTCCCGGCTCTTGGTTGCCTTTAGAGGCCTGGAATAGTCCAAACTTTGAATCATTACAGGATCTTGAATTGCTGGAACAAATGGACATGGTCCTAAAGCTCAAATCGTCCATTGCATCAAAAACTGGTCATGATTCAAAATTTGAACTGTTCCTGGCTCTTGGTTGCACACCCAGCGACTCAAGAGCCTAGAATAATTGAAATTTTGAATCATTTTCGGCTCTTGCAGTTTTTAATTCCCATTGACAATCATGTTAGCTTCTAAAATTGTTTAGAAATTTTTCAAGTATTGTGCACAATTTTGCAACACGATGACTAGAAAACTGGCTTCTCTACTCATCAGGCAGTGTTGCAAAATTGTGCACAATTTCCCCAATTTATAGCAATAACTCCCACATCAAATCAAATTCAGCAGTTATAATGATTATTTACAAAATATACACATTTGTATGGCCTTTAAGCAAAAATAGGTGCTTGTTAGTGTCTTTTCTAGTTTAAAAAAAAGCATATTATGACCTACCTCAGCTTGTAGATCGGCAACTTTGTCTTGAAGCTCCCTCACCCTGTCACTGTCGTCTACGGAATGAATTCTGAGTTCGCCTTCAGTTGCAATTTCTTGACTTTTCAATTCCAATTGGCCAATTTTCTGAGTCAGCAAAGCGACAGACTGAGTTTTCTCGGCGTCGCTTATACGCGCCTTCATCAGCTCGTCTTGCATTTTGCTTTCCAAATCCGAATACCTTCGTTGTTCTTCCAAAAGACGAGCTGCAGCTTCACGATCTCGGGTTTCGGCATTTTCCAAAGCTTCCCGGTGTTTCTTGATTTCCTCGTCTTGACGGCGCAACTGATTGGTCCCCACTTGCACTTGGGTTTCCAATTCCATCACCTATGGATGTTTTTAGTTTTTGCCCCAATAATAATCAGCAGAAATAATTACCTTTAATCTGAGCTCTTTGACTTCTGTAAGTGTTTCCATTTCTCTTATTCTCGTAGTCATAAGTTCCTCTTCAAGTTTTTGTATTTCGTTGTTTCTGTTTCCAAATAATAACTTTTTAGGAGTGCTTAAAGGATCGCTTGAAGTTGCTGGTTCAGGTTTGGCCTTGTGTTCCTTAAAACATTAAAAAATCAATTCAAATTTTAAAATAATAACTCTTCAGTTTTTACTTGTAAGTGTCGCTGCCATTGGTTGCTGAGTTCAGCCACTCGCTGTCTCAAATCTTTCAAAGACAAATTGGCTTCGGCTTCGCGCAGTTTGACAGCGATTAGTTCTTCTTGCAAATGAGCTACGCTGTTATCCGGAGTGGTTTCCCTTAAGGTTTTCTTGTCTTCTTCCAGCTCGTGAATTCTGGACCTCAGATCGCGTGTGAGAGCGTCGTTTTCAGCTTCTCTCAGTCGCACTTTGACCAGTTCTTCTTGTAGGCACTCGATCATTTCTTCTCTTTGCTGTAGTTGTTCTTGTTTCAGGGTGATTTCTTCGATTGAAGATTGACGTGACGAATGCTAGAATAAATGAATTAAATTATTTATTTCTCAACTACTATTATAAGTCCTCTACTGGGATAAGAATCGATTACTCACAGTTTCCTCCATCATAAGCGATAAAGATCTAATTTTCTCATTGGCCAAGGCCAACTGATGAGTGGTATCCAAATGAGTGTACCGCAAAACCTCTAATTCGCGTTGCACCACAAAAGTAGTCTCCTCTTCTTCCGCCCTGCTCACTTGCCCTCTCACCAGCCTGTCAGCCAAAGCCTTGCTTTCTTCTTCCAGCATTTCGCACCTGTGCCTCAACTGCTTATTTTCCGTCCTCAGTCGCTTCAATTCCGTCATCTCCTCTTGCTCTTTGCTTTTAATCACGTGATACTCTTTTTCCAATTTCTTCATTTTCTTGGCGTTATACTTCATGCTGTAGGCAAGTTGCATCAAACCTTCCGGGTCCGATTCCGCTTTGGCCGGCAGTTCCTTTTGGAAATACTTAAGCATCCCTTCCATGTCCAAGGACATTAAATCGTCCTTGCCCAGGGTGAGCATGGCCAGGGCAACTTTGAAAATGATTTCCATTCCTTCGGACAGAAACACGTCCATTATTCTGCAGGCCAGCGGCAGAGTGAGAGCGGTAGTGAACAAGGTCAAGAACCAACTCGAAGCGTACATGGAAGTGTGGAAGTTTTGCGATTGGAAATGTTGATTGAGATCGGGAAGGAGTTCGCTGACGAGGTTTTCGAGTTGGAACATGCACACACCCAGCTCGGCCATGCTCGGTTTGAACATGTCGCGCATACGGTAGTCTTGCATGATTTTCACTAGGACTGCAAAAGCTTCTTCTTCTGGCATCTAGAAGCAAATTATAAATGATTGTTGGTTATTACTAGATTCTACGAGACTATCATTATTCACTCAAGAGCAAGTAAAAGTCTAAATTTTGATTGGATCGGTTCTAGAAGAAATATTTAGCAAATCAAGAGCCGTTAATAAGCAAAACTTGATTTGCTTTAACTCTTGATGTGTGAATGTTTCAGTTGTCTATCTATAATAGAACCTTCTTACTAAAACGATGAAATTTCAAATTTTTTTTTGTCGAGATTTTGTATCCTAATGGTCAATCAACATACCCCAAACTCCATACACTAAATTATTCTCAGATTTGAAGCCGAAATCTATGAAAAAAGGCAGTCAGAAAAATTGAAAAATTGATAAATCACCCCAAATTACTTAACACGATTTTATCTCAGGGACTATAAGTGCAAATGAGTTGAAATTTTCAGGGATTGTAGTCCCTTCATTGGGATAAAATTTAGTGAAAGTTTTGTTTGCAAAACAGAACCGAAAGAATAAAAGACCTAAAAACCATAATAAAGAAGAAGTCATTGGAACAAATAAAACAAGAGTGGAAGGACAAAAACATGCATGGACAATTCCTATTAGAAAGCCAAAAGGATTTTGTACACTCAGAACAGTCATGACAATGGTTAGAAAGTGGTGACCTGAAAGTTGAGACAGAAGCACTCATAAGCAGGCAGTGTGTATAAACTACATCAAAGCAAAAGTTTTCAAAACCAGCAATGAACCAAACTGTATAGTAGACTTTGTCGGAAGAATTATGAGAATATATCCTAGCCGGATGCCCCGTCCCAGAGAAGAAAGAATATTTTACCAGATACAATGCCGTTGCTGCCCATCTCCATTGGAATATATGCAGAGCCTATAATATAAAAGTCACAGACAAATGGTACCAACATGAGCCTGATCCTGTTGTTAATAATGAACAGATAACACGCAGATCCACAAAGACTCATCAAAGGGAACAAACCAGATTTAGTATTAAAAGACAAAAAGAAGAAAACATGCCTGTTGATTGATGTATCCATTCCATCTGATTATAACATTGTTCTTGTGACTTAAAGATCGAAGTAGAGAGAATGTGGCAATGAAAACTAAAATGGTCCCAGTAGTGGTTGGCGCCACAGGATTTATCACCAAAACAACATGTCAAGCTCTGAAAAAACTCCCTCGGCAACTTGCAGACCATCCAGAAGACGACACTGTTGAAAACAGCCCACGGTACATGGTGTGTACTTGGTGGCTTAAAAGAAAAAGGAATACCCATAAGTGCAATGAATGTGATGAAATGGAAAAATAATGTTAATAAAAATAACAGCCAAAAACCTGGGTTATATGTGAATTGCCATATCATCAGGTTTCAAAATAGAAAAATTAAAAGGAGGTTTCACACTACAAAGACTACATTATACTCACCGTGAGACCTTCTTTTGTATTTGGAAGCGGCTTTTATTTGAATAAAAAGTTGAGTTTTGATTTAAATGTTTGGCTAAAAATATTTACCTGCATTAGAAGCAATCCGACAATGAATCCGGATCCCTGGCAATATCCAACTTCGCGGTCGTGTAACGAGTACGCTTTGATGACGTTGAATAGAGATTCTTGGCCCAGACCGTCTTTTTCTTTGAAGAAATCGTGCTCGGGATAGGTGCGGGCAATGTCGCGTCTGATAACCTTTTCACATGGCGATTTCGTCTGGAAAATGAAGCAGAGTTTGTAAATAACAGACGAAAACCATTTGACAGAACTGTCGTTTTGTACTTCAAGCCCTGGAAAATTGCAAAAGCTACTTTGCTTAAGTTTATGAGTAATTTGAGTAAAAATTTGCTCTGAGAAAGTTTGAAGAAACTGAAATTCTCACCTTGATATATTCAGCGTAGAGTTTTTTCTCTGGAGCATCGGCTGCGGAGCACAAGAGTTGCCAAACGATTGCGCGAAAGTGTAGAGGAATTCCGCGACGTACGAATTCCCTTATTTGGGTATTTTGCCTTTTCCATTGGTCTTCCCAGTTGTTGACGATTTGACTCCATTTCGCCCAGAGTTCTTCGCCTTCGTCGGTACGATCTGTCGTAGAACTTGTACCTGAAATTAAAAAAAACACTTTGTGTTTAATTTTGAGATTTTCGTCTATATTTCCTTAAGTTAAGTAAAAATTCTTACCTAACCTTAAATAAAATATCGACTTTCCCACACATCGTCTATACTCGAAATTTCCCATTTTATTTTCTGACCCGGACACACAAACAAGACTATTAAATGTGCCATATAAATTATTCAATTTTACTCTTTTCTAAAGCACACAATCAAGTCAATTGATGTCGCAAACCAGGTAGTTAGTAACAATATAATAACGCACGTTATCGCTATTTGAAATATGCATTTTGATAAAAATGGGTCTTATCTATGCGGCCGATGTTGAACTAGTGGCGTAAAAATAGATTTTTTCTTTTGAATTTGGTGCCAAAAATTGGTAAATCAAAAGTGTGTCAACAGCTAAGGCCTGGTTTATTACCTAATCTTCAGTTAAATTTACCAGAGTCAATTTCCTTCAGATTGCAGTTTATCCAAAGTTGAATAAACTGGGCTTAAATTTAGAGAGACTCACCCAGAACCATTATCGTCATGGCATTAGAAAAATCAGCAATTTGTGCCAACTACACACACAACACTGTAGTCACTGATAACAACAAAACAGTACCTATCGAATCTGTTTGTTAATAATCATTCACCTTTATCTTTTTATCTTGTTTTAAATAATATTTGTTGTAAAAAATTTGAAAAACAATTTAAAGGAACTACCTTGCCGAATATGTGACTACGCTGTGGCAAATTGAACACAAACGTGCTTTGAAAGCGATTCGTTTAATGTTTATCGCAAAAATTTAATTGTTATTGTTTTTTTTTGAAGGGCGATACGATTGAGTGCCAGTATTGTATGAGAAACTTAAAATAAATTATTTATCATTGCAAAGAGCATTAAATTCTCTATAAATATGTGCTAAATTGGTTCTGATAGCTCTGATAGTTTTCGAGCAATTGAGCCTTAAAGTTGAACTTTAGTCAAAAAGTTCAAATTCAATTTTCTCGATAACTATGTACCTAATAATGTTGAATTATTTTTCGAGTTAAGTTTTTTTAAAGCATAATAAAAAAAATTTAAAATTAGAAGACAAAAATTAGTTCCCTAAATCAACCTGTAGATATTTTTGACTATGCTATTCCAGATAATTTTAATTTTTTTATATATATATATATATTATCAAAATCCCCGAATACCATAATGGTGTAGGGGTGTAATTCACTTACAATTACATTATACAACTAAATAAAATTTTATGCGTGTACAAATTTTGCCCATTGTTTTTTATCTCTTGCCATTCTTCTTGCCTGTGCCCATGTCTTTCCTTTTTCTTGCAGTATGTTTCCGATAGCTCCATCCCATGTTTGTCTTGGTCTTCCTCTTTTCCTTGTTTTTTCTATCTTTGATTGCCATACTCTTTTGACTGGTCTAATGTCGTTCATCCTTTCTAGATGCCCCCAACAGCTCAATTGTCGCTTTTCAATGAACTTGAGTGTTGATTCTATGTCAAGGTCTTTTCTTATTTCTGTATTTCTCAGTTTATCCATCTTTGTGACACCTCTAACTCGTCTGAGATACTTCATTTCAACTGCCTGTATTTTACTTTTTTGTCTGTTTGTCAACATCCATGATTCACATCCAAATGTTAAAATTGGTCGATATATTGTTTTAAATACATTTATCTTTGTTTTCCTTGAAATAGCTCGGAGTTGGTCGGTCATGTTAGTTTGGGTTAGTTTGGGTTTGGGACCCCGCACAAAACTTACGGAAAATGTGTTTATGTCAAATCGTCTGATTTTTTGATAGTGTGTCAAGCTCGATATCCTGAATAAAAGTTATCATTGCGCCAAAGCCCAATAATGAACAGTTTTTGAAATAAACGCCCTTTTGTACTCTCACAAATATAGGTAAATCTTATAGACAATGACATCAAAAAATTAATTACCTACAGGTGAAAAATGCGGTGATAAATGGAATCAAAACACTGTTGCTTTGGGTCTTCCAGGAGAATGCTTTGGACTAGCAAAAAAACACTATTTCATTGGTAGTACAATTTTTGTTTATATGAGTATCTTCAATAATCAAAATGGAAAAATGGAGCTGACTTACTTTGTTTTTGAGTATTATTACTATGGCTGATGTCGATTTCCAACATCCATAACCGTTTCTAGTAGGATTGTTGGGGGATAGTGCACATTGGGTTGATGTCGCGCATAACCCAAATACCATAACAAGCTTGCAATATGGCTACAACAACCCAATGTCCTTGCACCAGATTTGCAAGTGCAGTAATGTCCCAAAATTGCTTCTTCCACTTGTTCAGGATGTTGCTGTAGTTCCTGAACGGTTCTATAAGTAATCCATATTTGGTACTTAGTAGCATTTCTGAAGCGGGAATAAATTCGGGCCCGAATAAATCCCGGTTCTGGGTCGAGTTGATCTACCTGCAATTCATCATCGCCATCTCGTCGCAATTTTTCCTGTATATACGACGGCGCTAGGGTTACTTGGTACACACCAAATGTGAAATCTTTTAAATACTCGATATTCAATTGCGGAAAGTCCACCAATTGTCCGTCATTCAGCCGTTCCCAAGCAGCATTTCTCGCTTGCAGACCAAATTGCTCAACTCGAGCTTTAACCACATTAACCTCACCGGCTTTTTCCAACATGGATTGAGCCAGCTCAGCATTGCAGCCATTCATTTCTATAAGGGGATGGTACCTATTAATTATAGCTCCCGCAATCCGGTAAAAATCTCCTAAATGTGGTATATGTTGAAGGCTTATTGTCTGGCTGAAAAACTTGAACACGCTTTTAATGTGTCCATTTCGCGCTTCTACAATCCAGCGGGTTTTGGTAACCAAACGGGATTCATTTGCATCCTCAGTAGACAACTGGCGTTGTCCACGCTCCACACTACGAGGCATACGATATTGGATGCCAAGCGCCTGTAATAGTGGGATTGAATCCCTATACCCTCTATCAAGCTCAATAATGTCGCCGTTCTGGAACCATTCCCTCATGTTTTCGGCATCACGTTCAAACTCATTTCGTAGGACAGCCGCATCATTATTTCGCGAGTCGGCAAAATAGGGACCTTGTACTGCCAAAATATACCCGTCTGGTGCTACTATCAGTGTAGGTTTCACACGATGACGACCTTTGTGAATCGAAAACGTTTGTCGCAGGGTCTGGAAGTTGGAGCTTTTGGGAACATAGGAATACATGCCATCAATATATGCAATAACTCTCGGGGTGCCTGGATTCTCATTGTAAAGTATATTCGCAAAGGGAGGTACATGAGTTTCAATAAATGCGGCGCGATCAATAGCTGTAAAACCAATATTTTGAGGTACAAATCTTTGTAATAGAGATTGCCTCACGGTTGCTATCGCGAGACTTGCAGTTTGACGACTTCTGTAATTGAAAATAGCCTTAACGAAACTATCCGACAATCCCTGTCGCATTTTGCACAAAAAGGCCAGTAGATCTTTTCTGGCAACATACTTATCTATAACCATTCTCTATCGGTATAGGATCGCAAAGATCATATAAACTTCTAAACTGAACTTTCGTGATAGGGGCGATGCTTTCAAAGTCTGCATCAGAAAAATAATCTTCGCTATCAATTTTGGGATGTTCATTAGCTGTATTTCTCAAGTGTTTCAAAAACTTTTGCAACTCTCGACCTGGAATTACGTAGGGCCTGTTTACAAATCTCAAACCTGGCAGAAGTCTTTGCAGAAGAAAACCGTTTCCGTTCAAATGGTGAGCACAACTTTTGACATATTCTGGAACCTATATGTCCCTATTAAGGAAGATATTCACCCTGGCCTCGGTAGATAATCGGGGTTCATTTGGTGAGTTGCAAATGAGACACGAATGGCTTGAACTTTGCATCAAAACATTGAGCCGCAAACAAGCGGGATCTCGCTGAAGAGCATTTATTTCCCTAATAATGGATCTGTTGCAGCTGGCACAAATTCTTGTGAGTTCATTGATTTCTATGATAGGCCTGATGTTTGCTAGACGCCTTTGTTGAGCTATGGCACACTTATCGGCATTTTCATCTCCAACAAGACGCACCATTAATCGGGGAGGAAGTGCCGCAGGACATATGAAACAGTGCAATATATTCCTCATTGCCATGATCAAAAAGACTTTATGAATCGGAAGAAAAATGGATCAAACTATAAAACAATTTACGGTTGCGGAAGGTGTGGGGAAAACGCTTCAGCGCATTTTTCACCTGTAGGTAATTAATTTTTTGATGTCATTGTCTATAAGATTTACCTATATTTGTGAGAGTACAAAAGGGCGGTTATTTCAAAAACTGTTCATTATTGGGCTTTGGCGCAATGATAACTTTTATTCAGGATATCGAGCTTGACACAATATCAAAAAATCAGACGATTTGACATAAACACATTTTCCGTAAGTTTTGTGCGGGGTCCTTTCTTTTTTATTTCTAAACGCCGAATTCATCATGTAGTAGAGATTTGTTGTTTTTTCTACTCTATTGTTAATTTCTATTTCTTGTCTGCCATTGTCTTCTATTTCTACTCCCAGATACTTGAATGTTTTTACTTGTTCGATTTTTATTCCATCTATTTGTACATTTATATCCATTTGTTTCTCTCCTATAGCCATAACTTTAGTTTTGTGTTTATTTACTCTCATTCCGAAATCTTCACAAACCGCATTCCAAATTTCTATATTTTTTTGTTAGTCTTTTTCTTTTTCTGCCATAATTATTACATCATCTGCAAAAGCTCACTCTGATACATCTACTCTTTTCAGATTCCAGTGTCCCACGTGTAGTTTTGTCATTCTGCTTGAAGATTTTTTGATTATTTCGTCAATAAAGATCGTAAATAATCAGTGGCGTAGCGAGGGGGAGGGCGAGGGGCCATGGCCCGGGCGGCATAGAAGAAAAGGCGGCAAATTTTAATAAAAAATCTAAAAACTCTAGGAACTTGCAAGTGTAAACGATAGTTTA